TCAATGAGAAAGAGTGAGGGTTTTTGAGCCAATGTTATTAAGTGATTTTGCAAGATTTTGAGTTAATCATGTATTGAGTATTATTTTTAATTTAAATAATTTGGGGCGTTACACCACACTAGCCTTGGTCACAAGTATGGGGCCCTTAGCCGCACCTGTGGTTTCATGTAGTCCTAAACCTTAGAAGTGCATCTTCACCGCACATGCACCACCTTTGACTGCACTTGCACGACCCACGTTGCACATCTGGGACTCTGCCCAAAATTTCCATTCCTCTACTGCACAAATCTGCACATGCAGAAAAATCCTGCCACACATCCATCATCATTTGCACAAGTTCAATTCTTTCTGAGGTGTTTCTACACTCTTATTTTTCATCCATACTCCCGAAACTCTAATATTAAATGTGCCAGACGTGTAGAGACCCTAATTTTTAAAATTATAGAATTTTATTAATTTCATTTTAGCTCCCGATTTCACCAAATTTTGCAATTTAGCCCAACGGAACCTGAATATATATATATATATATATTCTTATATATATAGGCCGAATATATATCAGAAGTACTATGTCTAGAAGATTGACTACGATTAAATTTAATACAGACTGAACCGTCAGTAAATTGTTGAATATCTTGGATATCTTGACTAGTGGATTATTGTTGATTATGTTTGTAATTTTCATTGACCGTAACCCATTGATTAGGGAGGGTAATATCTTTCCATTCTATCATTTGAGGGATATTTATATTAGTATCATTGTTACTAGTTTGAATCAGTAATGTTTTATCCTTAGGACTTTTATGTAAAGCTTGAACATTTAAATTGGTTTTAATACATTTATAATGGACACAATAAATTAAAACAATATTAAGAGTTTTTTCTTTCATATTAGTAAATGAACCATTTAATTGAATATTTAAAGTTTATGCATCTAATATGTGTGGATCACTGAGTGTGAAATCGGGAAAACAATTAAAATGAATAGGTCTTTTGTGAAAACCAGTTTCTATCATACCCATTAAACTATCATTATAATCAATAAAACGAGCATCTCTCAAACATAATAAAACAGAAGTGTTTTTTCCTTGAGGAGTTAATGGGTTTATTCCAACTTGAATTAATCCTAAATGAATGAAATTATGGCCAGATTTTAAATGTCGTTTAATAGTATTAGCATCAAAAAGTTGACATGTTTCTCGAGGTTTTTCTAAATTATAAACTTGTTCTAAAGTTTTAACATGCAAATTAATTTTGAAGGTATTTTGGAGAAAAGTAGTTTTATAAATTTTATCATTCTGTATTTCTACTTCTTCTTCATTAATTACAAATGCTTGATTAGATATAGAGGGCAAGGTTGTTGACCGAGAGCTGACAGAAGAGTGACTTCGAAATAATCAACAAAGTTTTAATGTAATAATTGCATCTTCTAAATGTTGATCTTTATTTCGTAAATCTTTAATGGTTTGTTTAATCTGATTAATTTCTTATTATAAATCTTGTAAGGTAACTTCTTTGTGTTTATTTTTAAATCTTTCTAAGGTTTTAGATAGACTAATAACAGGCTTATCAAACTTAGGTTTATGATTAGTATTGATTAACAAATATTTTAATTTATCAGTATATTTCTTTTTTAATTCAGAATCTTCAAGTCTACTAATTAATTCAATAAGAGCAGTTTCTTCTTGATTTTGTTTAGTAAGAACAGTAATTTGTTTAACAGGTTTACAACAAACATCATTATATCCTAATTCTATATTATTATCAGAATCTTCACTAGGTGAATTGTAATTAGATGAAGTATTAGAATTATCAGAAGAGGAATTACTAACAGATTGATTTAATTGAAAGATTTCAAATAATTGATTTTTTGATTTATCATTAATTTGAAGTTGATTAACTTTATCTTTTAATTTTTGTTTTTCTTTACATATATTAGAATAATGACTTTTTTGACCACAGTTGTACCAAGTAATATCTTTATTAGATTTAGCTTTTGGATGTGATTTCTTGTAATATTTCTTTTTAGGTTTAGTATAGAATTTATCATTTGATTTAGAAGGTGAATAATTTTTTTTACACTTGTTTGAATACTTGTAATGGGATTTACTATGTTTTTTATGTGTTTTCCTATGGGAAGGTGCGACAGGAGGTAAACCATATTGTTCACAAAAATTACCTAATTCATATTTAGCCTTATGTTTATCTTTAGTAGCTTTTTGACTGAGTTTAAGATCAATACACATTCTTAATCCTTATTTTTGAATAGTGCTAATGATATCACCATAAGTTAAATTGTCATATTCAATGATACCAGTAGCTTGACTAAGAACATTTCTAATTTTGTGAGCAAACAAACTAGGTAATCCGTTAATAAATTTTTCTTTCCAACAAGATTTAGTACAATCTTCTCTTAACATAACTCTAGAGGTGAATACATCTTTATACCATCTAAAATCACTTAATTTTGGACAAGTAAGGTTACTAAGTTGATCATGTATGCGAGAATATATATTAGTAGGAGTACCTATGAAATGCCTAACTATGGTATAGATTAATGTGTTAACACCATCAGGTTTGTAATAGCCAATAGCTTCATAAAAGATTGGTAAATCATTTTCATCTTTTTGATTAGCATGTAAGATTGATTCTCTTTGATCTTCAATAAGGTATTTTTCCCGCCAAGATTTGAGCATACCAGTAAAACCAAAAGTGATTAAAGAAGCAATTTTAGGTTGAGTGTAATCAGGGTAGTTACTAAAATAACTATTTGCAACCATAGATAAATGATTTAATTTTTGAAGTATTTGATCTTCACTAAGACTATCAATATTCCATTCGTACAATTTTTTAGCAGATACAGAAAATTGATTATTAAGATTAGTTTCTTCATATTGGAGATCAGGAGGAGTAGGTCTAGAATACCAGTTTTTAGTAAGAGATGTAGGATTAGGCTTAGGATAATGAATTTTATTCAGATTAGAGGATTGAAATTATTGAGCTAATTGATTAATTTCATCATCAATTGTATCAAGTTCAGATTGATGAGAAACAGTATTAATACTAGATTATTGATTTAAAACAGTAAGACCTTTTTCAGTAGAAGGAGAGGCTTTCTCAGAAGTAGTTAATTTGGTAAGTAATTGTTCTATGAATTTAACAGTAGTATTATCTTGGGTAACTAAACTATTTCGTTTGGAACGATTACTAGGTAGATTAAGCAAAGGTTGATCTAAGGATTGTTTAGTAGATGTATTGTTTAGTAACCTTACTTAGTCCTATTAAAATCAACCTTTGCATCTTTTAGTCCTATATATATAAGAATATATATATATATATTGTACAAATAATATATGTTCACCATTTTATAATTTAAAAATAGAAAATATTTTTCACTTCTTAATTTCTCTCTATTTCAACTTTATCTCCATGACCAAGCAGGAGTTGAACCTCAAGTCAACTATGAAATCAAGTCAAAAGTCAAGCTCAAGGTAAAATGAAATATATACCAAAATATCCAACAAAGTTTTCTTTTAGAAGGTGTACAAGGGAGCAATATAAAGTTGGAAAAATGGATGATATTTTGGCTAGGTGTCATAATTTGATCCTTATTTCATAGAATGTCATGAGACAATTCTCGAAAAATTGAAAGGCATTACATGTATATACTTACTTTTGGCTCAATACATGAAAACTTATACCCACATTGAGTTTGTAGGGCACATCAAAAGTGAATATTGTTTATATGGCTTACACAAAAACAAGAAGGTGATTGCAAAAAGTCTCAAGTTGCATGAAGTGTTTCATAGGTCGAACAAACATCTCCATTCTCTAAAGTGATTTGTGAAAAATCTCAAAGGATGTATTAAAGGAAGCAAAGATCATAAATCAAGTAAGAAAGTTTGGCCTATAATAAATTTTGCTATTCAAATAAAAAAATTGCAAGTTGTCTCATGTTTGAAGAGCCTATTTGGAGTCTTGGCCTTTCAGAAGTTTTGAAAAGACATAGCATCACTCAAACCTAAAAAGTACTTTAAACATTCTAGCCCAATGAATAGGACTTATAATGGAATAGGGCTTTCATGTTGGAGGTTTGGCCTTCAGAATGTTTGAAAAGGACTAATGGTGGTTTCAAACCTGATCAACATTTCAATCTTTCTAGCACATTAAAAAGGCTTCCTTTATAGTATGCTAAGAGTTTTATATAGAAGAATTAGTTTTCCACTTCAACCTTCTCTTATAAATAACTCACCCAAGACTGGATAAGAGAAAGGAGGTCAAAGTTCAGATGCTAGTTCATGAATGCTTGAGATTGTGCAATGAGGTCAAAGATCTTATTGTATACTTGAGAGGCATTTAGGATTCTGAAGTTCTTAATGAAGCTATGTTAGGCCTACAGAATATAGTTCAGAAAGTCTTGATGAAGGCCTATCAAGTTTGCAAGAACTAATTCAGAAGGTCTGGTAAGGACTCAAAAGCTTTTAATGAATGCCTATCAAGTCTGCAAGAGTAAATGAAAAATGGTAATTTGTGAATCTATAGAAATATGTGTTGGGAAAAACTACTCACATTACATAATTTCACATTGCATATCGCAAAATTATGAGATGAACAAAACAAACCTTCAATCCTAGGAAAAATAACATGCTGAATAAAATACAGATAAAATATAAAATGGTTAAAGGAAGCAAACCGAAGCCTGTGTGATACCACAGTCTCCTTAAAATAGATTCGCCGCCTCACCGCTGGGTGCTGGAGGTACGCCGGCGTCTACTTCCCAGGATACGAGGGTTTTTACCAGCTATAACAGAAGCACCTTCTGATTAGCTTAGCGAACAGACAATGGCAACACTCTCTCTCAGGAAAAAAATTATAGGAGAAGTAGACTGACAGTGTATGGATGTCAAGGAAAAATTCTGTATCTCTTTTCAAGGAATAGGGCTTCCTTTTATGCACCATGGGGGAGAGGGGAGGAGCCTCTAGCCATCAAGGCAACCAATGCTAGCAAAACTGCCCAATCAATTTTGTAAAACTGATGAGCCTTAAATGTGTGAGTTATATACATATTTATGAGGTAATTTCTTATTCAACCATTTTTCTCCAACAATATGATTAGTGTTAAAAAGTGTATGGTTCAAACTTATTAAGAAAAAACTTGCACTATTTATTAAGACTCAAAACAATGTTGGACTACCATGATCAAACCTTTGATGTCACAACAATGCAAGAGGGGTGCTATTGAGTTGGGTTCCGTAATATTGTGCATGATTAGAAAAAAAATAAAGAAAATGTAAAGGCTTTGTTTGTAGAAACCTCTATGAATAATTTGATGATAAACTTTTCTTGAACTACAAGCTATGGAATCAAATATAAGCCTACAATTATTATCTAGTAAATTGTTGAACAACTTGTAAATTATAAGGGATAAAGGTTTGTTAGATCAAGAAAAGGTTATGCTAGAAATTTGCTAAATACCTTTACCAAAGTGAGAAATGGGAAGAGAGTTCATGTTACCAACCTAAACAGAATCTAAGCCATTGTATGGAAATATGATCCACACCATTTGTAAAATGGGAAATTGATCAGTTGGCACATGAGAAGAGTTGGGAGGATTAGAAACAATGTAAGAAGATGAAGAGAAAACACTAGAAACAAGTTGTGCTACATATACTTAAAGTTATAATAGAGGATTCGGTAAATTAGAACCACCTCTGAACGATGAAAAAGATTGAAGTACATGGGGTTGATAATTCAAAATGAGACTATGACAACAATTGATAACTAAAATTATATATATATACATAAAGGTCCTGTGATGACAACCCTAAGGGCGATCAATAAAAGCATTAAATTCTAAAATATTTAAAATCTCGATACACTCTTCACATATTCCAAAATATTTTTATACATTTCAAAACACTATTTGCACAATTTTTTCAACAATAACGACCCTAAGGGCTATTTTTAGCATTTTCCTATATATATACCGAAAACCTTAGCCTACATCATCTTTACAAAATTATTTTCACAAATTAATGCAAAGAAAGTTTTTGCAATATGAAAAAGATAACTGAAAACATATCTAATGTCTCTGATTTAAGATTCCCTCCAAAATATTTGTAAAATAGATTCATTTGTTTGCCTAAATAAATAAATAAATAAAGGTATAGTCAAATTTTGTGCAAATGAATCCAAACTAGTTGTGCATATAATTGGAGCAAAATTTAGTATTATTAGCAATTAACCAAAACATGTCATTGAATCATTTCATCTTTAACATCTATTAGAGATTGGTCTATCAAGTTTTACAATGATAAGTATGTTTAATGAGAAATGTCCCTTGTACAAGAACAAATGTCATCGAGACACTACTTCTGAAATTGTGACATCATTAACAGAGCAAGGATTTGCAATTTCATGTGTATAGGCATCATTCAAACTCACAATTGCAAAGAAAGCAGGTTGCTTAGGAGCAGGTATATCGACCATTTCATTGCTAAGCATAGACAAAACCGCTGAAATAGTTGGTCTATCTACTGCACTTTCTTGTACACACAAAAAACCAATTTGAATGTATCGCATAATATCACTCGTTGAACATGTTTCAACTAATGAATGATCCATTATCTCCAAACCCCTTCCATCTTTCCACAAATCCCACGCCTAAAATGAGTCGTTAAGAAGTTCATAGAAGGTTAGTCATTGAAAATATATAGAGAATATATACACACAATTAAAGACCAAATTGTAGTTACTTACATATCCTAACAGATTTGAAGCGTGATCGGGCATATAAAAATCTGTGTTTCTCTTCCCACTTATGATCTCTAGCATCATGACCCCAAAGCTAAAAATGTCAGACTTCATAGAAAAGCGACCGTACAAGGCATATTCAGGGGACATGTAACCACTGTTTCCATCATTTCACCAAATTATATTGTTGAAGAGAAGTAATATGTTTGGCATGCATATACACAATTTTTTATAGTTGTATGTTCAAAAGAGTTATCTAACTTACTATGTTCCAACAATTCTTTTTGTGCTTGCCCGGGATTCATTGTCTCCAAATATTCTTGCAGTACCAAAGTCAGATATTTTTGGATTCATGTCATTATCCAATAAAATGTTGCTAGCTTTCAAATCTCTGTGAATGATTCTTACTCTAGAGTACTTGTGGAGGTATTGAAGTCCTTGAGCAATTCCTTCAATGATGTGGACACGCATTTTCCAATCAAGTAAAGCTCGTTTGGTTTCATCTGTTCCAAATTTTGCATTAAACACATTAATTCACCTGATAGCACTAGGAACAAAGAGAGAATCACAAGAACAAAATATAGACTGGTTGAAGTTAGTAAAGTAACACACCAAAAAGAAATGAATCTAGGCTTTTGTTTGGCAAGTACTCATATATTAATATCCTCTCATCTCCTTGAGCACAACAACCCAAAATTCTAACAAGGTTACGATGTTGAAGCCTTGAAATCAATATAACTTCGTTCCTGAACTCCTCTGACCCTTGTTGAGAACTTCTAGAAAGTCTTTTCACAGCAATCTCCTGCCCATTAACTAGCTGACCCTGAAATTTATATATTATGTATAGAATGTGTAATCATAAATAACACATCAAAATAAAAATTGAAGTATTCCTCTATAGTCAAGAAAAAAAATTCAAACAATATTGGATGCATTCTTCAACAAAATTGTATTTAACAATAGTCTACCATAAACTTCAATTATTTTTTAGGGTTAATTACACTAATAGTCCCCAATGTATACATTTCATTACACTTTAGTCCCAAAACTTGTAATTGTTCCACTTTGATCCCCAAAATTTTTACTTGTTTACACTTTAGTCCTTGACGAAAGTGTCGTTCAAAATCAGTTGAAGGATGATGGATATTTTGAAATTTTACATGAAGTCTAAATAAAATCAAAATGACCAAATAGATATATGATCTAAAAGTACGCAGTTTGTAGCATTTTGATTCCTCAAATATACATTTTGTTTCATTGTAGTCCCTAAAGTATATATTTTCTTGCAATTTTCGTCTTTAAAATTTAATTTTGTTGCATGTTTTTGGTTTTTTGTTCTTAAGTCTAAATAAAATCAAAATGACCAAATAGATATATGATCTAAAAGTACGCAGTTTGTAGCATTTTGATTCCTCAAATATACATTTTGTTTCATTGTAGTCCCTAAAGTATATATTTTCTTGCAATTTTCGTCTTTAAAATTTAATTTTGTTGCATTTTTTTGGTTTGTTGTTCTTTGTTTTTTGTTTTGTTTTGTTTTTTTGTAAAATTATGAAAATATTCTTCCACATTTTTTTTAAAAAAATATTTAGTTTGAATGGTGTTGATGTTAAAGACTAAAGTAAAACAAATTGTAAACTTTAGAACCAAAGTGGAATAAAAAAAAAAAAAGATAGGGACTAGACGCAGCACATACTTTGGAAACTATTTATGTAATTCACCTTATTTTTTAATGTGGTGGGTGTAAAAATTAAGTGGGCCAAATTTAATTGTGCACAAATTATTGCAAGACATAATTTGAAACGTATAGATGAGGCTAAAAATGAAAATAAAAAACTACCTTATAAACATGTCCAAAACCACCTTCCCCAATCTTATTTGCAAACGAGAAGTAACTTGTAGCAATTTGTATACTAGAAAGAGTGAACAAAGGTAACTCATAATCCTCTTTTCCATTGTTTGTTTTGTCAATAATTGCTGCTTCTGTTTTCAATTGACACATTACAGATTGTGTACTTTGGGTCCTCTCTTCTTCACTTATTGCATTATTTCCTGGTTAGGACAAAGGCAAGACTACATTTAGAGATTAGCGTAGTAGTTATGTAGCTAATCTTAAATGCCAAACATTAAACACTTTGGTCAATAAATGAAATATATATATATATATATATCAAAAGCACCCATAATTTTCTCATGATGTTATCTTTTTTGGAGAAAAAATAACTAGAGAATTTTTTAAAAGTATCTTACCTATTTTTATTTTCATCAAATTAGTATAAATTTTCTTTTTTAAAAACAAGTAAATAAGAGAAAATTGCAATAAAAATAAAATACGACTCCTATAACAAAATAAATCTTGAGATTTTAATTTTTACAATTTAAAGTCTAATTTTTTATTTTTTTTTCAATTTAAATTATTTATTTATTTTCATTAAGTAAAACTGATGAAAAAAATTATATTTTGATCATTACACTCAACAGAAAAATGTATTTTAAACATTGTATATACAATTGCATTGAATACAATGACTGAAATACTATTTTTCTGTTAGTTTTACTTACCGAGAATATGTAAATTGTTTAAATTAAAAACAAATCAAAAAATTACTTTAAAGTATAAAATAAATTTTAAAAAAAAGGACAGAAACAGATTTAGAAAACAAAAGCAAATAGATTGAAAAATACCTCTAAAGCAGCGTGTTCTCCATAGATAGCAGAGTACTGATATAGGAACAAGAACAACCACAATATCTATTGTAACCCCCATTATTATCCACTGTTCCTTCTTCATCGAATTAGTTGGATTCTTCTTGGTCACCAAATCAGTTGGATGCTTCAGCCTTCAGGGCCATTTATATGAGAGGGTATGAGGGCAAATTATTTGGAATATATGTGATTAATGCGGAGAATATTTTTTAAAAAAAAAGAAAAAAAAAGAAAAGAAGAATAACTCCTCGTGCAAGCCATCGTTGAAATTATGGTAACAGGAACGTTCCATTGAATTTACGGGAAAGAATAATAACTCGTAGATTAGGTTTATTTACACTTTGCATCTTTGTATTTTCACAAAATTTTATTGTGACCCCTCCATTATTAATTGTAACAATTAATACTTTGCGGAAGACTATGGTACAGACCCTTTAAAAAGTGTGTATTGTATGTACATTACAATTAAAGAAAAAAATGACATACTTTTTTAATCATAAAAAAATATTAAATATTAAAAAAAATTATAACCAAATAGCACATGAAATATAATCAAAGATCTCATGAATCATAACTAAAATAAAATCATAGGTAAATTATAGTTTGTCCCCGTTATGTTTAGTCACTTTCTCACTTTGACCTTTAAAGTTTGTTTTTTGCTACTTTGACTCTTCATGTTTCAAGCTTTTCCTAATTTACTCCTAAAACTAATTTACGTTCAAAATTAAATAAAAAATATCATGATAACTGTCGCATAAAAAAATATATATTGTGATGATCGGTTTCGCCATACGTCACTTCATTTTTGTTTTCATTAGGATTGTTGTGTCCGGATGTCTCTTCTCAAATTCTTATCCTTGTTTATCTCGGGTTGGCTCTTCTTTTGTTTCGAAGGGTGCACGGCCGAGTCCGGAGTGTCCGGGAGCAAATCGGGGATCGAACTAAAAAATTCTGAGTTGCTGGGCCAGGGCCGCACATGTGGGCCCTAGGCCGCACGTGTGGGGTAGGGCCGCACGTGTGGGGGGGTGAGGCTGCACGTGCGGGAAGATGTGAGGTTCTGAGAGTTGCACACTGCAATATATGCAGGTGCTGGAGGAGGTACGGCAAGGGAAGGCCGTACGTGCGGAGTTGAGGGCCGCACGTAGGGGTGTGCGTGGTACGGGTCAGTGCGGTTTGAGAGAAAAATAGAAACCGTATGGCGGGTGGCGGATTGATAAAAGTGTCACTAGAATTTGCCATTTTCCTTATCAAAAACTAGCGGTTCGGTTGCCTCCATTATTAATTGTAACAATTAATACTTTGCGGAAGACTATGGTACAGACCCTTTAAAAAGTGTGTATTGTATGTACATTACAATTAAAGAAAAAAATGACATAATTTTATACTTTTTTAATCATAAAAAAATATTAAATATTAAAAAAAAATCATAACCAAATAGCACATGAAACATAATAAAAGATCTCATGAATCATAACTAAAACAAAATCATGGGTAAATTATAGTTTGTCCCCTTTATGTTTAGTCACTTTCTCACTTTGACCTTTAAAGTTTGTTTTTTGCTACTTTAACTCTTCATGTTTCAAGTTTTTCCCAATTTACTCCTAAAACTAATTTACGTTCAAAATTAAATAAAAAATATCACGATAACTGTCGCATAAAAAAATATATATTGTGATGATTGGTTTCGCCATACGTCACTTCATTTTCGTTTTCATTAGGATTGTTGTGTCCGGATGTCTCTTCTCAAATTCTTATCCTTGTTTATCTCGGGTTGGCTCTTCTTTGGTTTCGAAGGGTGCACGGCCAAGTCCGGAGTGTCCGGGAGCAAACCGGGGATCGAACTAGAAAATTCTGGGCTGCTGGGCCAGGGCCGCACATGTGGGGCCCTAGGCCGCACGTGTGGGGTAGGGCCGCACGTGTGGGGTAGGGCCACACGTGTGGGGGGTGAGGCTGCACGTGCGGAGAGAGGTGAGGTTCTGAGAGTTGCACACTGCAATATATACAAGTACTGGGGGAGGTGCGGTAAGGGAAGGCCGTACGTGCGGAGTTGAGGGCCGCACGTGCGGGACGCTAGAAATCCGAAAACTCTATTGTTTTTATCTCATTTTGGCCGAATTTGTGTCATTTTCTAGCCCTTCCTTCTCACTCTAAAAGGACATTTTGCTCTGCCTTCTCTCTAAAAACCCTCATCTAGCACTCAAAATCCTTGATTTCTTGTGATTCTTTGAGCCTAGGGTCATCATCTCTCTCTAATCTTGAAGATCAAAGTTAGGGCTCCTCTTGGTATAGTGGAAGTTGAAGAACCTTCCATCCTGACCCTGGGGTTTCATCTCTTTCATCATCAAACATTGAGGTAGGGATTTCTTGAGTTATATATGCATGTTTTGCTATATTGATGTTGAATTAAAAGTTTTCTTGAAGTTATTGTGTTGATTTTAATTTTGATCCAAAATGTAGAGAGTTCTAAATGTGGGTTTATATCTCAACCCTTTGTTAATCCATGAGGATTTTCTTTTATAAAACTTAAGAAATGTGATTTTGGTAGGGTTTTCACCAAGGAAATAGGAAATGTTTGGTTTTTGATGAAAAACCTTAGAAATTGGGGATTTTGGAAAATATGGAGATGCTTAAGGATTTCTTTATTTTCTTGTGTTAAGAGAATGAATGAGTGTAGATTTCATGATGTGTTTCGCAAAATGGCAATCTTATTGATACATGAGAATGGAGAATTTGTTTTAAAAACTATTGTTGAGTGCATGAACATGTATGGTTGTGGGATGACAAGCTGTTGTGTACCATGGGCTATGAGAAATGGGAATCTTGGAAACTAGTGTTTGAAAACATCACATGTAGTCTTGAAGATACCAAATTATTAAGAATTATACATGATGAGAAAATTGTTGTTGTGTGTTGATGGCATATGGTTATTTTGCGAAATAACATTGAAGAAAGGAAATGGGAAATGTATTTGTTTTGATATTGTTGTCAAGATTGTAACGCCCTCAAAAAAATAACATTAAACCCATCAATATAGACATGCATTGATATATAAAAACTCCACATTCTTCTATTCATCAGAGTTCCATTACAAAAAGTATTATATGTTAACAATAAAAGCAAATGCCCTAGAGGCTTACAACTTTCCAAGTTAACACTTCGTTACAACAAAAGAGTGCTAACTCATTTACACATTAAGCCCTTGGCTTGAATATACATGTAATACATCAAAGAAATAAAACAACAAAAGTCCGCCTGCCCTAGCCTCCCAAGCTACGTCCTTGGAGGTGGCATGCTACCTGCACCTGAAAATGAAATTCCATTAATAAGGTGAGCCACAGCCCAGTAGAAATATAAACCAAATATGAACAATGACTAAAGATTAGCAGTTGATAGATGGCCAACACTGATACTTTCCCTTATCACACTTGATGGTTTCATGACATACAAGTCCATTTTCCAATTCTTTTCAATTCTCAATTTAAACCATGGCTCAGAACCTGGCCAAACAACTCATATGAGACAGTAACCCCATATCAAACACTTTCCCATTTCATAAAGATAAGCATACTAGCTATATCCACACCAACAGATAAGCATACAAGCTATATCATCACTTCCACAGATATGCAATATGAGCACTATCACACTTCCAATGACAACATATGAGCTCTGTCAACACATATCTAGATAAGCAATATGAGCTCTATCTACGGAGTCATCCCCTATCTCCTCCCAAACAACATCGGTTTAGAGGTCCATCCCCTATCTTCCCCTAAACCGTGGAGTACATCCCCTATCTCCTCCAACACAACACAATGCATATAACAAGAATTATACACATCATCACACAACACATAAATTAATGTATTCTTTCAATCGTCAATCTCAATGACACATTCCAGTGATTAGTTTCAGTTTGCCTAATCATCATGCATTGTCTACAACAATCAAGACTATCCTCCACCGATAGCCCAAAACAGTTATTTCTATACAGAAAATAAATGCAACAATGGATATAAAATCAACATTTCAACTAGGTGAGCAATAAGTAATCCAACTACACCCTTTAATTCCACATCTTTCCAAATCAATTCCTCATTTCTCATAATTAATTATGCAAATTAATTAACCAATGTAATTAGGGCATTTTCCATAATTAACATTACAACCCTTAGGTTCCATTTTCATTAATGTTTCAACATTAATTTCACTTTTCCATGCCAAACATGCATTTTGGTTTTATATAATTAAAACCCCCAACTTTTGTAAAATTACACAAAGGCCCCAAACTTTTCACAAAATTACCAAACCAACCCCAACATCTCAAAATACTAAAATTTAAAGACAAAGCTCATAGTAAAGAGTAGGTTATCCCTACCTCGAAGTTAGAGCTCGGATGGAGAAGAAGCCCAAACCAAGATGCTCCAAAGACCAAGATTCTCGAATCAAAACGACGCCCTCGACGATCCACACAACTTTTACAAAGGGCAAAGGGAAGGGAAGTACTCTAACTAGATCAAACCCTAGAGAGAAGGGAGTTTCTAGAGAGAGGGGCTCTCAAAATATCTTTTTAGAAAGTAAGAGAGAGAGAGGAAGTGTAGAAAGTGATTTAAAAGTGCCCAGCTGCCCTTTGTTATACGACACTCCCGCTCGAGCGGAAAACACAACACTCGAGCGTCAAGAACAAAAATCTGGACACGCTCGAGCGCAATAAGGCCCGCTCTAGCGCCAAGACACAGGAATAAAGCATACCCGCTCGAGCGAGAAAACCAGTCCGCTCGAGCGCAAATCTCCCTCTCCCAGAACCCTCACCAAGACAGTACTACCCGCTCGACCGCCAATAATCCCGCTCGAGCGCCACCCGCTCGAGCGCAGAAAACCCGCTCGAGCGTAGAAAACTCCTCTGCAGAAGTTTTACAGGGACACGAAATACTAGGAGTGTGCAATCTCCGCTCGAGCGCCAGAACACCCGCTCGAGCGCTAGACTAGAAACCAAACTCTGCTCAAGCGCAGAATGACCCGCTCGAGTGTAACACCAAAAACCTGGGCAACAAGGATATCGACCAAGGCTTAACCCACCTGTTCAACCCAAGCCCATAAACATCCTAAAACTCAATCAAGTGGAATTAAAGGACAACAACAGGATAGATACCACTACCAACTTCACGGAACCGAGTCCGGAACACAACAGAGCAGAAAAGGGACAACCGGGATCGCTATAACCTCCCCCCCTTAAAGAATTTCGTCCCCGAAATTAGACACAAGTTTTCAAAAACAGGTTTTCTTCATTCTCAACAATATTATAACATAATATTAAACAACCCGACCCATTACCGGTCAATTCCATCTCTTTTCAAGAGGCATTTCACAACATATATTACACGTTCATTATTAACATACAATTTTC